CTAGCGCGCACGCCGGCCAGGGCATGGGGTCAGGCCCGGCGCACTGGGGCTGCGATCCGTTTCCTGCGCGGCGGGCGGTGTCGGGGCGGGGAGTTGGGCACTTTTCTTTTGCCCCTCACCAACCTCCTCCCTTCTAGCGTTTTCTGAAAGTGCAGTAAGGCGAGCAAAAGTAGCTTTTCCTTTAGACAGATTTTCGAAGACAACCGAAGCCCTTAGGGAAAGGTCGTGGTCTCGATCTCTGTGCTCTCCCTTTGTCCCTGCCTATCTGTGTATCGATTGACTATCTTTCTAATGTATTGATCATTACCTGCCCATTCCCCTGTCTATCCCTTTCCAAAACAAGAAAGTGCCCTCAGCCCTGCTTCTCCTCCGCGTGATAAATACACTTCGCCCTGAGGCTCAGCAGAGGAGGGATGGATTTACGCGTCTAAAGCCACAGGCTCGGCTTCGAGGCCGCGCTGGGGACTCACCTCCCCCACCCCGCCTTCCCCTACTGGCCACCTCGCCGCGCCACACTCGTTCGCCTCTCTCATCTCCTGAAACTGGAGGTGCATGGCGTCGTTTGGGAAATGTGCGGAGAACCAAATTCGCTGAAGGAAGCGTTGTTTCAGAGCTGAATGACAACTAAGTTCACAAATTTTTTAAGCTGAAAATATTCGCTTTGGTGCTATTTTTTGCAGTATTTTTTTTTTTAATGTAAATTGTAAAAACAGAAAAGTGCAGTGGTTTCTATCAGCCCAAATTTACAAAACTTCTCTGGTTTTATTTCTTTTCTTGTCTTTTCTTCCTTTTTAATTTTTCCTTTTGTTTTGTTTTGTTTGTTTGCTGCTTTGTTCTTCCTCTCTGCCGGTGCCACGGTAATTATTTTCTTCTCTATGACTTTCTTTCTATTTCTTTAATGCAGACCCCTTCCCATCTCAACTCCTTTCCCCAACCCCCAGCATGGGTTTCCCTTTCTGGAAAATATTTGTAGGGAGCAATTTGGTGATTGGCAGGAATCTAGGAAGAAAAAAAAAAGGTGAACCAATGAAAGCCCCAAGCTGCCTCAAGACCCGGGTGGGAGGCCTGTAGGTAAGTGTGGGAGCTTCTCTGCAGATCCACTGGAGATAACTGAAGCCACCTGGGCTTTGAGCTTTTACATCCAGTCTCCACAGACGAGGTTCATTCTTATGGCTTTCAGGGGGAAGGGACAGGGCGAAGGCAAAATTTTTAAATTATTAAGAAAAAAAGGTGCTTTCAAACAGAAAATCCTAAATGATCTGCAGTTGAGATAAATGTCTAACAGTAGAGTATTTGCTTATTGTTTTTGGCATGTTGTCCCTGTCAAGAATGTAAGCTCTTTAAAAAGAAAAGGTGGGGGGAGCTCCCACTCTGCTAAAACTTAGTGGTCCTGTTAGAAAAATAAAGCTATGGGTTCTTTTCTGGAAGTTACACACTCAACCCCAAATGAAACAAATGTGGGAGAGGCTAAAAAAGTGGGAAAAAACGTAAAGTGAATTTCAAAGGGCGCCACAGCAGAGCACAATCTGAGATCCACAGAAAAGTGGAGAGGGATAAGACAGGAATTAGGTCATCTCATCCAGACCCCAGGAAATATGTTTAGATCAAAGCTACTCTGTTAGAATAAACAAAACAGGACCCACTGAGCCCTAGCAATATTTTCATCTCAGTGCTAAGAGCTGCTAATCTAACCAGCTCTATTTGATGAAAGGGGGTAAAAAATTACAACTGTAAAAATGACTGAGTTAAAAAAAAAAAAGTCCTCTTAACTGTAATAGGATGATAAAGATTTAGACTTGAGCTAAAAAGTAACAAGATCCAGGCCCAAATCAACACAAACTTCCTGGAATTTTAGCACTAAGTAAATTATCTAATCCTAACCCATTGTCCCCTCCTTGCCACCCCCCACCCGTGCAACTGAGTATGCCAGATGATTTACATAAAAAAATGTTAAATTTTAACTGCAGTCTGAGAACGTTGCAGGAGGTTGGCTTTTGGGTTCATTTATTCTACATTCCTTAAGGACTATCTGCTTTCTGCTCTCTCACCAGCCACCCCCCACCCCCGGGCAATTATTGGGGTAGCTGCTGACCTTACTGTGTGGATGCTCCTTTAAGCCCTATCTTAAGGTATGGTCTCTCTCCACTGTCAGGGGAGATTGACAGCGGCTGGGAGATTAGGTCATATAAACCTGGCTCTGGATCCACGCACTTCATAGGCTGATACTTTACCAGCTAAGCCCAAGTCCTGTGTCAGGCTTTCTTTCACCACAGAGTTGATGGCCTTAAACCAGCTACCAGGGAACATTCAATAGATAGAAACACCCAGAAAAGGGACAGGAAATCCCAGAGAAGGAAAATTCACCCTGGCTAAATCCAGGGTTGCAGTTCCTTGCTGAGTCTGGTTTCCTCTTAACTGTTTAAACATGTGATTTGGCTTCTCCTGTGTTTCTGCGTCCATCTGATCTCAAGTTGAACAAAGACTCATGAACCGCATGTCGGCTTGGCTCTGGCCCTCTGGGAAGCCAGGACGACAAGATGGGGAATGTGAGGGGCCTTTATAAACACCACCGGGAACAGGCCATCTTCTGTGTGGGGCCCACGGCTGCTTACCACGCAGAAGCCAATTCCAGGATCAGATTTTTCCTTATGTTTCATGAATGTCTTTGAAGACATACGTGTCACAAAGTTGGAGGCCACACAAACATTCATCTTTTTTTAAGACCCAGGGCAGGATCTCATCCAGCCTCTCTCTGAGAACAGCTAAATCCCAACATAGTCTGTTGTGACCCATACACCAAGAGTACAGGCGTCATATGTTTTAATCATAGATGCATTTAGTATGCGGCCCAGACAGTCACCTGTAAACCTGGCTGAACTTTTAAGCCTTGCAGCCCCCACTCTTGGTGCAAGGAGTTGTAAGTGGGACACCTTCCTAGTCAACCTGAGGGTTGCCTCTGTATCCTGAATTCGGAGCTGTTCCACATGTGTCATGTTACTTGTGTTTCAGAACAATCCACTTGACAGATGCCAAAACTGAGGTCCAGAGAGCGGAGGAGCAACACTGAGACAGCAGGAAATCTAGAGCTGTCACTAGTTTGATAGCCAGCTTTGGGCACTTGGTTGTCATTGTCAGTTTCCCCGTCTGTGCCGAAGAAGGCAGACCTCCCTCAGTGATTCCCACTTTCACAGTCTTCCCGTTATTGGAGCACCTCTTACACACTATTACTTATTTGATAATTTAATTTAAAAGGGCTCTTTCAAAAGCTTAAATGTATTTATTCTAGAAAGAATGGGCAACACTAGATTCAATTCTGTCAGACAGCCTTCTAATCCTGTGCAGGAGAAATCCTTATGGTTGTGTCTCATGTTGGTGACATGCCCCAAATCAAAACAGCATGAACACATCCTGCTGTCGCACTCAGCCACATCCTTTCTTAGTTCTCTTCTGACCAGCTGCCTCTTGCATTACCCATGTGTGAGGTCTGTGGGTCTTAAAGAGTTTTATTGAAGCCCTCTCCCTACCTCTTTACCTGTCAACACACACCTTTGAACTGGCCTGGAGTTTTTCAGACTGGATTGTGACTCATTAGTGCATTATGAGGTCATTGTGGTAGATCACAGTCAGTATTATGCTTTAGTGTAATAGAATAGACAAAAGCAGAGTGTATCACAGGTAGTAAAAGTCAGCAGTGTCTTGTGAAGCTTTTGTCTCAATCTTGTACATATGTACACATGGTCACGATGGTAAGTGAGCTTCTTAGCTGAGTTCTGATTGACAGAGGCCCGGAAAAAATACGATTTCCCTCTGGTTCCCAGCAGAAGCACAGAATCAGACTTTAGCAAGAGGGCTAGCAGCCAGAACTGGGAATGGATAGAGCAATAATGAAGACACAGGTAGACAGCACAGGTCCCCAGTTTTCTTTGCAGTCACATGTCCTTTCTGCAGTTTTCTAGTGAGTGGTTGTTTCTGCAGGGAGAGACCAGCAGCCAGGCCCTGGTGCCAGCTTGTGTGTGTTCTCCTTTCCTGAGCTGCTTCCACATGGAGGATTTTAATAGCATTTTTTCATCAAAGGGATTTCTCCTTTAAAGCACACTAATGCAAAAGAGGAAACAAAATGTGTGAGTGGGAAAGCTGAATTATTGCAGCAAGTGCACCATGTCTTTAAGACCCCTTGCCCGTTGGTAATTGGGCCCATTTCTTGGGTAACTATCATACCAATCCTCCCAAATCGTGCCATTTCAAAGCATCCTTAGTCACTATACTCACTGTCAGATTTACCATAGCCTAACATAAAGTCCTAGAGTCCCATTAGAAATGCCATTCAGGGGGCTGGGGGTATAGCTCAGTGGTACAGAGCTTTCCTAGTATGCACAAGGCCTTGGGTTCAATCCCTAGTACCGCAAAAGAAAGAAACACAGCTCAGAAAGGAAGACGTCTGAAGACTGACAAAGATAATATTCTAAAACACACACGCACACACTTACCTAAATATCCCAACTGTGCTCAGCAGTAAACATTTAGATATAAAGAGGTTGTTTTGAGAACTAGGTCCTGACTTACTGAGACTTTTGCCTTCTTAGTCTTGATGTAGAAGTGACATGCCCACATCTATGAGGTTTTCAACCTGATCTTCAGTCCGACTTATTTAAATTATAATCAAAAGAGTTACCATGGTAGTTCTCTTTCACCTATACGTTTTGCCAGATAACTTGAAGGGCCTTCCCACTATAGCTTCCCCACCTTTTGGGTTGGACCAAGTGACTTGCTTCAGCCAGAAGATTCAGGTAGGTGCCACATGTACCAGTTCGAAGGCTGGGCCTCAAGATGCCTTCATGTTTCTACCCGTGCCCTTGCACCTCTGCTGCAACCATGAGAAGCACCTGCCAGCTTGGCACCAGGGAAAGAATGATACTCCCTGGAGAAGAGCCGTCCCCAGCCAACCCCAACCTGGGTCAATCCAGTCCCGCCAGCCCCGCCAGCCCAGGCACCTACATGAAACCAGCTGTGCAGAGCATACCCACAGCTCTAAGGTCAATATGGATGGTTGTTTTAAGCCATCAAGTTCCATGTGGCTTCTTAGCATCTCTGGAGCTAAGTAACCTCATTTTGACAAGATGTGTTTTACAACTTCCCAAATGTCAAACATTGTTCCAGATGTTTTACTTGAATTAACTCATTTAATCCTTGTAACAACCACATGAGGTAGGTATTATCATTAAATCCATTTGCTGGATAAATAGGCACAGAGAGGTTAAGTTAAATGTCTAAGATCACATACCTGGTAAGCAGCAAGAATTTAAAGCCAGACTACTTGGCTCCAGGGTATATGTACTGAGTTCTTAATGACTGTGCTACCCTTTTGCCCTGTCACAAAACCTCCCAAGAAATCCACTACTGATCTAACCAACTAAACCCCAGGACCAGAATGATGAAGTGAGCAGGTCTCTTCTCTATATCTTCCCGATTCTAATCATTCCTCTCTCTTCCCTGTTGCTAGGTCTTCAGAGGGAAAAGAAGCTTTAGGGACACAGGCAGACCTGTTGTCTACACACCCTTCTGCCAGGAGAACCCTCCTGCTCTGAGACCTTTATGCCCAAGTATGGGGCAGGTGGAAATAGCAGGGATCCACACTAATGGTACACTTCTATACTGACTCCAGGGTCTTCCTTCAGTCGGCAAGGATGTTTTCTGTATGTGCCATTGTCTACCCTACAAAGACTTCGATTCTGCTTTCCGCTCTAATTCTTGTCTCTTTTCTGTAGTGGAAATGATCCATCCACCTAGAAGCGAGGGTTAATCCCTCTCTCTCTTTCTTCTCTTATGGGAAAATAAATCAACTGTTTTCCCTTTTCCTTTTTTGCTGACTGCAAATTATGAAGTCTTCACCAAGGGGGAAAAGTAGCATCTGAACTGTCGCTGTGAAGAAATTGTTTGCAGGTGTGAGCAGCTGGTATATTTTTTGCCTCCTTGTAAGGAGAAACAATACAATTCACGTTTTCTTCCTTGCATGGAGCTAGATTGGAAAATTGCTGGAAAAATCAAGGAAATGTTTAGAGAAGACATGGAAGTTTAGCACATCTGAGAGGGTATGGGTTCAGGTTTTCCTGGTATGAATGTGCTATGGGAGAAGTAAGAAGGGATGAGAAGGTGGGCAGGGTGCTCTCTGTTCCTGTCTTGGTGTCTGTTTTAGTCTGTTTCCCATTGCTGGAACAGAAAGCCTGAGGCTGGTATTCTGTTATGGAGCAGATGTGCTGGGGATGGCCCCCAGGGTCACGAAGGAGCTGGGAAAGGGTATTACCATTGAACCACACCCGAGCCTCAGACTGGATATTTACAAAGAAAAGTTTACTTAGGAAAGTGCAAGGGCAGGTGGGGCATGCAGACAGGCAGCATGAGAGATGAACTCACTTTACACCAACACCTCCTCTCAAGAATGAGTCCACTCCAGGGCTGGGATTTAGCTCAGTGGTTCCACCGCCTGCCTCACAAGCACAAGGTCCCAAGTTCAATCCCTGGTTCCAAAAAAAAAGTAAAGAAAAGAAAAGAATGAGTCCACTCCTGAGAGAAAAGCATGTTCCCTCTAACTGACCTGATCACCTCTTAAAAGCCTCATCTCCCAACACCGCCACCATGACAATCAAATTTCAATCTGAGTTTTGTGGAGGATGAGGTATATTCAGTCCATAGCAATGTCCACCCCAATGCGCCAGTGTAACAACTTCCCAGGCATGCTATAATAAGCATAACAGTAGAATGTATCATCACCCAGCTTTGGGGACTTGAAGTCCTAAAATGAGGGATTGTTGGAGCTGTGCTCTCTCTCTAGCAGAGAACATGTGACGAGCCTTACTGGCATCACCACTATGCTTGGCACTCCTGGGCTTCAAGACTCAGCTCTTCAGCCTCCACCACCACCATCACGTGTGGCCTCCCTGAGCATCACCACGTCTCCTCTGTGTGTCTCTTCCTCTAAGTGTACCAGTTGCATTGTCCATGCTACACACTTCATCTTACTCTGACATCTGTGGAGACCCTGTTTCCAAAGAAGTTCCCCAGGCACGAGGAGGCTGTCTTGGTAGCCCAGGTGACATATGTGAAGGGGACCTGCAAGGAGGAGGAAAACTGGAAGCAGCACTGGATGTTTTTGAGCAGATTCCTCCACCCAAGCCACCTCCCCACCTACCTGTCTCCTGGCTTCTATAAGCATCTGACTTTCTGCAGTAAGAAAAAGGGGACTGAGAAAGAGGGTCCCTGCTTTAGTGAGAAGGGCAACTACCACTTATCTCAGCAAGAGAAGGTGGGGGAAAAGGCAGAATGCACACATCTTCAGAGAAAAGAGCCAGAGATATCCAAGAAGGCAACTCATGGCATGAGGGTATCTCAGGAAGAGGGCTCCATCAGGAAGGGTTCAGACAGGACCCTGGCTTTCCCACAGAAGTTAGCACTTGCTGAGCCATCAGGGAGAGGGAATGAACAGGATGGCTTGAAGCTGGGCCTCAGGAGGGGGAAGAGAGTTCCCATCATCCTTCACACCTGAGGCCTTACGCTTTTCAAAGCACTTGCACATTCACTGTTTGCTTTAACCCTGTTCCAGGGCACAGCAGACGGAAAGAGATGAGGAAACATCTAGGAAACTAAGTTGGACCTCTGTGAGGATGACCGCAGAAGGAGATTGAGTTATCTAGACAGAAGCATGTCTTCTTTTTCTTGTGCCATGCTAGAGATCAAAGCCACAGCCATAGGCATATCAGAGCTAACCCACTACCCCAATGACTGGCTAGCTCACAAGGCCTAATTACCTACCTACCCAGACCCTTCCTCCCACTCAGGCCTTTCACCTTCCCTCTGATTTGTCCTTTTTGCTTCCTTCGTCAAGTGGTTGGTTTAAAAAAAATAGTGCTATGGTTTGAATATGGCTTACCCATCAAAAACTCTTTTTGAGGCGTGTGCCCCAATGCAATGGTGTTGAGCAGAAACAAAAAGGTGTTTGAGCCATGAGGGATCTGCCCTCAAGAAGGAATTAATGTAGCTCCTCCCAGGATGGGTTAGTTATTGTGAAAGTGTTTGTTATAAAGCAAGTTCAGCTTCCTCAACTTTCTCATTATGTGAGCTCTCTTCTCCTTTCCACTGTGAGGTTTTCCCTCATAGCTGAGCAGATCCTGGCACTTTTCCAGCCTTTGGAATCATGATCCAAAAATAATCTCTTTCCTTTATAAATTACCCGGTCTCGGGTATGCAGTCATAGCAACAGAAAATGGACTGAGACTTAATAGCAAACTATTGAGCACTTCTTAATAGAAGTGCCAGGCAGTGGTAAGTGTCATGATTACCTTCTGGTGCTTAAGTGGTGGAGACCACGCATATTCCTGCATAGTTTAGGGAAGTGTTCTAGAAGCCCACACACAGGACATTGAAATGTAATCTTAAAGGGGAGAAGGGGCTCAGGAAAGCCATGTCAGCCCTGTGGACATGCTTGGCTTGCTGAGTAGTTCATTCATCCAGCAATTGTTTAGTGAGCACCTACTCTGCACCAGGCACTGTTGTAGATGCTGGGAATCACTGGCGACCACAGTTAAATAAATATCCACCTTTATGTTGCTTATACTCTCGCAAAATGGCTTCATAGAATGGTTCAGGCAGGGTTTAGGTAGGTACTTTTCTAGGAGGTGTTGCATTAGCCAAGCAGAGTACTACTGTAAGAGATTGATGACAATGACGACTGCTGCGGAAATTTTTATGCTCTGCAATGTTAGGACACGGAGCACTGCAGCCAAGAAGATGAGAAACAGACCGAAACACCAAAGGCCAAGCACTGAGCTAAGTAAGTGATCACAGTTGGGGGGATTCGGCTGCTACAAGTCTGGAGGACCAGAAAGCCCTCCTGCTAAAGAAGCCCCCAGGTACAGGAACAACCCTGTTTGCAGGAGCAGAACCAAGACAGTAACAGGTTACAGCCCAAACCTGAGTAAAATAGCATCCACTGCTGATCCTTTTGAAGACCTCTTCCCAGGCAGGGTGTCCTGGAGAATTAGAAAAAGGTGGCATCCTTAGCTGTGTGTCCTCATTCGTAGTCTGGTGTAAATCAGAAAACACCTGTGGACTGTTGGGCTTGACCATCATCACCAGAGAAGACAGATGGTGGTGAAGGTGGAAAAACCAGGCTTTGCTGACACCCTCAGCCCCACTGCTTCCTACATCAACATGCATTCGTAATGTCTGTGCCAAGAGAATTGGGACCTTTTCTACATTCCTTTAACAGAATGTAGCACTTTTGAAGAAAACAGTTTAGTCTTGAATTGGTGATAGCTGCTAGAAATAATGGCTTATCAGCTTCAAGGTATAAAGAGATAAAGTTAGGAGCCATGGTCGGTTGGAAGAAACATTTGAATAGTGAGAGCTATAGAATAAACACAAAATTCATATCAATATGGTCTTTTTCTGATCATAGAAAGAAGAAAAGTAAAATGTGCCCTCCAGGCCAAGTCTAATTAGTGAAAGCTGTTGCATAAAAAAGTGAAAGCCCCTGGTTAATGAGAAGAAAAAGAAAGCCAGAGATATTTTAGAGTAGAGTCTATAGATACCAACACTAAGTCAAAAAGATGTACAAAGCGTCACGGGTAAGAGGAACAGAGAATACGACTCTTGATTACTGAGTTAGCTATAAAAATCTTTGTCCCATAGTGCCTGTATTTCTTTAAGTCTCATACCCTGCTATGGCATGGACATGGTTTGAGTGTGTCCCTCAAAACTCCGAGAGATGCTGGATCTTTTAGAGGTGGGTGGCCTAGTAGAAGATGATTAGGTCTTGGAGCCAGTGCCCTCAGAAGGCATCAATGTAGTCCTGGAAGGACTGGGCTAGTTCTCCCTGGAGGAGGTTGTCACAAAGTGAGGTCACTCCATATGTTTTACCCCTTCTGCTCACAGAGTTTCCCTTTCTGCTTCTCTCCTGTCATGATACAGCCAGGGGGACCCTCGTGAGAGGTCAGTGCCATACTGTTTGGACTTGCCAGGCACACAGTCCTGAGCCACGCATGCTTTTATTTATACATCATCTGACATCCGGTGGTGTTAAGGTAGCACAAAACAGACTAAGACATATTTTTAAAAATATGAACCACTAGGAGAACACATCAAATGTTACGTTTAGCTTCTTTAAAGAACAAGGTAAAATAAATTTCAGTGTCTATTGCCTTTGTGCATGAGCCTTTGTAAAGCTAAGTTTGAGGCTGAGTTCAGACACTGCAGTTCAGAAGCTAAATAGAAGCATAACCTAGAACAGAATTTACTCGGCTAATAGATGGTGGTTCCCTATCCCAGAGAAAAGTGACAATATAAGCAATACCTTGTTGCTCTCTTCTATCACTGGAAGTTATACTGTTTTTAATCTCCTCTAAGCTGTATTAGAATGTATACTGCATTGTGTACCCTAAACACTTGAATCTTTGTTGAAATGCAGATTCTGATTCAGTACCTCAGGCCAGGTGTCTGAGCTACTGCTTTTCTCCAAAGCTCCAACAGATGCTGCTTGGCTGCTGTGTGTCCCTCCACCCGAGGAGCAGCTCTCGGAATCAGTTCGCTCACCACCTCCATCTGCACAACTCTCACAGTTTTGAAAGATAGCCAAGATCCTGAAAGTGTAGCTGTCACAATCTCTGATACATCCGAGTCACCCTGAAGCCTCATTCTAGAATGAAAACTTCAAGGCCCCGACCTGGAAAATTCTGATTCACCTCTTCCACTTTCCTGCGTGCCTAGATCTCAGTGTGGCCGGAGCACAGTTCTGCCACCAGGTCCTGCCAGCTTCCAGACTGTCCTCCGGCTACATGCTTTGGCTTGCGGTAAGCCTGCTTTGATGGCCTTCTTCTCTTTGAATGTCCTGTGCTGGTTCTCATGACTGTGTAGTTCTTCGGCCTTTGCTCGGATGGCTCTTGTTCAGAGGGCTTTTCCCTGACCACACCGTCTAAGATAGTGCTTTCTACCACAGTTGCTGTGCCTGTGCTCTTTTGCCTTCCTTCCCAGTTCCTGTTACTCTGTGGAATAATCTTGCCCCTGCATTTGCCTTTTGTTTTACTGTCTGTCTTCCCTGGCAGCAAGGACTTTACCTGCCTTGTTTTCTACACATAATCCTCAGTCCCTGGCACGATGCTGGAGGAATGAATGGATGAGTGCACCCAGGTGGAGAAGGAAGGTGTAAAGTCAACAGTGTCGTGAATTCTGGCCTTGGAAACCTAAAACTTCAGAGTAAAGCAGAAGTGAGCATCTCATGAATAAAAAGATCCTAAGAATAGAAAAGGAATCACCATGGTTCCTTCAGGGTACAGAAGAAAATTAAATTAGGAATAGGGGATGCAGAATACAAAATTCATTGTCCTTCCTCTGTATTTCATTTTAAAAATGATAAAAATACATGTTCCTGGTAGACAATTTGGGAAAACAGAAAAATTTAAGTAAGAAAGTAGATACCACATTATCCGAACACCCATAGGTAACCATAGTTTTTATTTTTGGGTTTCTCCTTTTAAATTATTGTAAATGTTTTCAAATATATGTGTCTCATTTTATACACATATATGGCACATGTACTTTCATGTTCTGCTCTTTATTATTTCACATTATACAAGGCAAAGACCAAAGAATATACATTAAGCATATTCTTGCACCTATAAAGTGCCTTTAAAACATACTTTTAATGAATGCTTAATACTCCATCGTATGATGGAACTGCATTATATATTTGTTTTACTTTAGGTTCAGAAGAGCACTCCTAGTACTGGCTTTCTTTAAAGTGGAATAGAAATGTCTAATAAATGGCTTTACTCCTTGATGAGAATCGTGATTGTCAACCAAGGTGATTTTGCCCCTTAGGAGACATTTGGCTGTGTCCAGAGACAGTTTTGCTTGTCACAAGTGGGAGAGGGCATTGGCTTACTGTGGGAGGAGGCCAGGGATGCAGCCAAATCTCCTATAACATACAGGACTGGCCCTACAACAAAGAACTGCCTGGCCCAATGTCAACAGTGCTGGGGTTGAGAAACTTGCTATCCAGGCCAGTGTCAGGGTTAATATTCAACATCCACTTAAAATTCAAATTCTCATTCTGCCATTAAAATGCAGGACTTTGTTCCCAGATTCTGCCTCAGAACGATGTCTCACTTAATTAGAACTTCTGTTACTAGAGTCTAGAACAACTGGTATTTTGTTTTAATAATTTTTATTTTAGTAGAAATTTTTAAAAAAACAATAAAAAATGAAAGTTGAGTTTGCATTTTTATATTTATTTACTTATTTATTGGAGGGCAAACCCAGGGCCTTTGGGTGCTAGGCTAGGTCTCTCACTGAGCCACATCCCCAGCCCAAGGCTGAAATAAGGTTGCACGGATGAACATAATTATTCTGGGGTTCATCCACATTTGGGTCCATAGCTTCCTATAAACAAACTCCAAGACATGGAGAGCTTCTGGGGCAGAGTCCCAGACTGTTACTGGTAGAAAACACTTCTCTAAGGCAGAGAAGTGATTCAGTTATTATAGAAATAGACATCATAAATTTTAAAAGGGGAGGAACTGATGAGTACTTTGTTAAATCCAGTTATTTGGAATCCTATTCTCTGAACCTTTTCTTGAATGGAAATTTTAGTCTTTTATGGCTTTTGCAATATGTGAATTTGCTGGGAGAATTCCTCTTTTAGTAAACAAAGTTATCAAAATCACCTTCCCCCACTTCTGTGGAGAAATGTGAACATCTCTTTTATCCTAGATTTACGTCTTTGAGACTTTACCTGACCTTTGTGTGGAGATAATTGGTACAGAGACAATTGGTTAGGCTCCACCCCATAGGGAATCCAAATGCCACTGGTTCTGTCTAGAGCAAGGTGAACGTTTGCTGTTCCTTTTCTTCTACTCAGATTCTTTCTGGGGTTGATTATGAATAGAAAGGAATTTAACTTGGAAATGTTTGGAGTTGCATTTCAGATATTTAAAAGAATAAACAAAAGGCCTTCCTAAGGAGATGCTAGATAAAACACATCAAACTCAACAGAATGGGGAATCATTTTCTGAGCTGTAACAAAGGCAAAGGCAATGCAGTCTTTGTTAACACAGGATCAGAACTGAGAGCCAGTGAGTATGGGCTGAGGTCAGTGATTCACACCTTGAGCTGGATGTGAGCCTGTGAGGGTTACATTTGTTGGCCACTTTGCCTTCTGTAGTATTTTATGTTGCTGATCTCTGTGGCCTCAGACCTATGCTAAGGGGTCAATGGAGTCTCCATTGCTGTCCCACCATCTTCTGAGAGGGAGCCACCTTCCCTTTTCATCTCCTCTCCCCAGGGTTGACTGAAGACAAGAAGCATCTCTTGGCTCTAATCAGCTGCATCAGCTAATGACACAGACTGAATCATTTGGGAGACCTGCGAGAACAAGGGAGCATCTGAGAAGACAGCCATGGGAATGGAAGACAATTTGAAACAAGCAATCATGGGATGAAAGAGAATATGTTGGCTATAAAATAAGTGCAGGGATAAAAGAGATGAATGGAGAGTTAATTCTTCCGTCTCTCTCTCTCTCGGGTGATATTCACTTTTTTTTCCCCTTCTGCTCTCAGTTGGCGACCTTCAGTTTCTAAATGTACAACTTCTTTGTAATTTTCCATTAAAATACCGATTCAGTTAAAGAGTATGATACAGCCAGTGCTTTCAAGATTTGAAAGGCTGAAGAAAAAGACATTGCTCCCTGGAAAGACACGGTGTGTACATCTGCAGACACAAACATATCCACCCAGATGTGGGTGGCAGCACATCACATAGGCCTTCCCAACACACAGGCACATGCACACACACACACACACACACACACACACACACACACACACACACACACACACACACACACACACACACACACACACACACACACACACACACACACACACACACACACACACACACACACACACACACACACCTAGAGACTTCTATTAACTTAGGCAATTTACCAAATGAGATTTGCTGATATTCAACTGAATCAAATCATGTGGACCAGAGTAAGTGTGCTGTAGGTGGTAAGAATGGGAGGTGGAAGGAAATAAAGTTCATGTGGACAAATGTCCTTCCCAGTGCAGAATCCCCCCCGCAAAGAGACTCCATCTCAATAAATCCACACTAATTACTTCAGTTTAGTCTCTAATTCAACACATAGACCACATCTACCTGCCCAGCATATACCATGGCAACACATTAATATGCTACTGGTTTTGCCCTCAAGAATTAGGTCTAAGTGGAACATATGACAACTTTACAAATAGTTGTTTCATAAGTCATCAAGTACTGGTTCCAACTGATTTTCCAATTCTAAATCAGACTGTCAGAAGTGGCACCTAATATTCTTTTCAAATGTTTCCAGTCAGTGCAACTTGGTCTTCTAGGAGGGTCACACAGCCCACATTGTGCTGAACACTTTATCTACAGCCATGTGAAAGAGTTTGTTGGCTGGATTCTTTATTAAAACAAAGCGAGCTTCCTTATAAGTGGAGTTGATAGTAATTTAATTGGAGAATTTTTAGCTCCAGAGTAATTTTCTTTGATACTAAAGAAGATTGCAGCTTAGAAAATACGAGTTATCTAACCAAGGTCACATAGCAGATTTCTGTTTTTCTGCATTCTTCCTTCCCTTCTATGTTTCATTCATAACATCGCACTCATGCCTAGATGTCAAGTAAAACAGGAAATGTTGCTGTGTTAGGTTTGGGTGCCTAAAGATACCTCCTGATCCAGGCAGGAAAGACAGAAGAAGATTCTACCGAGTTAAACCATGAATAGTCAATAGCTGAATGTCTGCTCTATAACAGAGCTCAATAAACCTGGATTACCATCCTCATCTTCATTGTCATTGTTACTGTCAGGCTTTTGTGTTCTGCTTTAAAGAAATCCAGTCTGAAAGCTTCTACTTCAAAAACTGTTAAATTCATTTCTCAGAAAGATTTTTCACTTCACAAAGGCTTCCTCTATCGTATTCATTTAAATCTTGATGTACCCTCTAGAAAATGTATACAAATGGAATTCATTATTACGTAGAGGAAGACATATTTGCTCTCAATTTAACTACATATTTGCATATAACGTAAGAAATGTTAATTAGATTTTCATTTGCACTGGTCTACATAACAGTGATAATCAAAGATGTCCATAAAGCCTGAAAATACAGAGATTATTAGATGTTTTTATGACTGAAGATTTTCTTGACCACAATACTTTATTGAAACCCTGTAGATTATAAACACAGTAAACAAGAATAAATTATTTGCTATTTTGGAGGAATTCCTAATGTTTTGCATGCTTGATTTTTTTTAAAAAAAGCCATATATTCTATGATGAAATCTCTGTGTTTATAAACAAAACTCAAAAAATTTACAGAGAAAGAAATCATTTTGACTCTCTTCCTCAATGTTGGTTTCATAAACCATGACCAAATTATGGCAAATCTTAGCTCAAAGGGTGATTGAGTTATTTTGTTTGAGTTCATTTAATATGTTAGCATTTTAATATGCAAGCAATTTTTGTTTTTCATTTCACTGAACTAACTCCTCTAAAGTTTCCACATTAAATCATCAGGGCTAATTTTTTTAGGCGTTTCTGAGTTCTACAATGTGGAGAACTTTGTTCCCCAAAGTTTTTCTTTTAGTCTACTTCCTTGGGTGTGTGTTGAAAATGAAAATATTTAATTGAGTTTGTAAAACACATTTTTCACTGAAAACCCTAAAAAAGAAACAGAATGGGTTACTTTTTAGTTTGGCTCTTAAAACACCTAGTGGATCATCCATAGGTATTCAACCTTCTGGAAATACGGGGCAATGCCTCAGTTTTCTAAGTCCAACTTAAACCAGGTGCTGAAATGACAAAATAAGGGGCTGGGTGACCATCGGCCTGGTCAGTAAGTGGCCAGCATTGGCCTGAGACAGCTAATTGTGTGTAAATGGGATTGTGTAGTGGGCATGGCACTGCCCTCTCTGCACAAAGGACATCACATGTGTACCCTTTCAGATGACCACTGTTCTTTCCTGGGCAGTGAAAGCAGAAGCTCAAGCCATTTCATGGTTTGTACCAACAAGCAGCCAAGATGGTGGGGATGACCAATTCTGGGATAAGCATGAGACAAGGGGGCAGGGCAGGAGATAAGAATCAGATCAGTAGGAAAAGAGCTACTACTGGAAAAATTAGTCACTCGGTCTTTGGGTCCTGACATATGGTCACATTTAATGTCCCATTCCTTTATTTATATTGCAGAATCCAAACTAATTCTGCATTGATTCTGAAATGAATTGGGTCAGATACTACACAGGCCAGACAAGAGCAGGGACAGTCAACTCTCTCAGCAAGCTGGTGACTAGTTTGTGTGCAGGAGTGGCACTCTTGAGGCAGGGTCTGCCAGGAGACTGTGCTTGGGGGGTCCTGGATCCAGAGCTGTAGCAGCAGCAGCAGCAGCACACTAGGGGCAAAGGCAGTCAGATGGAAGGCTAGAATCAAGGCTGTGATACCCAGCCACGAGAGCCAAAGAGGGACATGGAGTCTCAGTGACCCCCTCCCCCTTCTGGACAGAGTGTCAAAGTCCCGAGGTTGAAATAAGCAGCAGCACTGTAAACTCCACCAAGAAACGAAGTTTAGGTGCAGCCTTAATAACCCAGGATTTCTCAACTTCAGCACCACTGTCACTGAGAATTGGTCAGTTCTTTGCTGCAGGGACTGTTCTATGCACCAGTTAGCAGGACCCCTGGCCTCTCTCCACTTGTTGCCTGTTGTGCCATTTCTATCACCTCTCCATTATCCAGGTAGTAATGACAAAAATATCAGTCACCGAGGGGAGGAAAGGGGCTAAATTGCCTCAGGTTGAGAATCACTGTTTGGGCCTCCTCTGGGGTCACATGGGAGACAGCAGAAACAAAGTTGCAGTCCTCCATGGGGCTCACATCCCCCAGGGTGGAGGGAGCATGCACACGCATGGAGAGGAGAGTTTTCAGGGGGCCTGGCCTTTGGGGCCAGACTCCCCAGAAGCTTTGAGGGGAACTCCCCTCCTCTGCTGTCAGGTCCCCACCCTTTCAGCCCTTCTAAGACCTGGAAGGGGACTTTGGCAGTGAATTTGTCTCTCTTTAAAAATGAAACTTTAGCTCAGTGGTTCCATCGCCTGCCTCACAAATGCAAGGCTCCGTGTTCAATCTCCAGTACCAAATAAATAAATCAATAAATAAAACTTGCAAAAGTAAGATGGCTTTTTACTCCAGCTGCATAAGCTTCCAGCCCCACAAAACTTAGTCTCTCCTTGATTTTTAGTTTTCTGTACATTACAGAATCAGTAATGCACCTTTCAAAAGATATCAGGAAAGAGAAAGAAAAAAATGTATCCAGTTTTAATTCACTGATAGTATAGCGGAAAGAAAATACCTATTTCAAACAGAAAACAGAGAAAACAAACTGTAGCTGGCCCTTGCACTGAGAGGTTTCCAGGGCGCTGCGTCCTCCTAGGCACGCCCTCCTGGGTGGAGGAAGCACAGAGACCAAGAGTTCCTCCCCAGAGGGTTGAGGCCGGAAGCGGTATCTCTCCCTAGGAGGGGCTGAGCAGCTGGCCAAAGCCCCTTCATAGAAACTGTCGGAGTTGTCGCTCCGGGCCTGCCCCTGGCTTTCTCCCGGCCATTGTGAGCCCATATTGATCAGGCCGGGAGGCAATAGGGCTGCGGCAGCTGAAGCTCTGGAGTGAACAGCATTGATCTGACCCCCTTCCCCGGTTATTTATAGGACGCGCCGGCAACGGGGGAGAGCTTGTTTAACGAGGGTTCAGGGCGCTCTTCACTAGCTGGTTAACTTTAAATATTGGAAATGGAATTGATGCGCACATAATAATATTATGATTCATACAAACCACTTCTCGGGCAATTCAATATATTTCATTACCTCCTTTCTAGCAAATGTATTGATTTCTGTTTTGCGGTTTTATAACACAATTTCAAGGCTGTTGTGGGCTTAATGAGCCGTGTTCTTATGATGTTTAAAAAGATTTGAAGCTATTGTTGAAATAAATATTATGGATCACCCCCTCTGGAGGCCCCCTCTCTCCGGCCTCTCCTCCCTCCTCGCCCCCCAGCCTGTCCCCTCCCAGGCCCGCAGAAAGCAGGGGGCTGGAGCTTCGCGGCCCTTTGTGGCCCAGATCAAAGGACCCGAGCGCCACAAAAGCGGCCCCACTCGGCCCGCGCGGCCACACACAGCCGCACCTGCAGCGCAGCCAAATGTCATTGTCGCCTCTTCGGGGCGAGCACGGGGGACGCACCTCCGAGGCGGCAGATGACTCTAATAACGCTTGATGGGAATTGATGGGGAAAGAGGCGCGCAGCGCCCAGGGCTTTTTATTAGCTGCCCCGACTTCTCCAGCCTCAGCCCGAACGCCTGCACCTGTGGACCCCCTTCCTCTCGGCTTTTATGGAAGTTGACAGATTTTATTAACTTTAAGGAAGAACTTTCCAGCGTTCGGAGAGCCGCAGTTTATTTTG